AACGACCGCCTGGCCTCCTACCTGGACAAGGTGCGCGCGTTGGAGGCGGCCAACGGCGACCTAGAGCTCAAGATCCGAGACTGGTACCAGAAGCAGGGACCCGGCCCAACCCGCGACCACAGCCACTACTACAAGACCATCCAGGACCTGCGCGACAAGGTGGGCGCGATGGGCGCAGGATGCGCGCGCGCACCCGCAGGACGCGGGGAGGGGCGCGGAGGGGACAGGTGTGGGGAGGGGTCAAGGGAGGGGCCAGGTCGGACGCGTCCTGGGCCACCCCTGGTGTTGCGCGGGTGCACAGCTAGGAGCAGCTGTGGCCGGGGAGGATCTGGTGACAGACTTGCCCTGGGGAGGACCCCTGCATTCCTTCCTAAGGCCTGGCTTCCGTCAGGCCAGGCTTTGGTCTCCTCCCACTCTTCTCCTCAGCCACCCAGGCTGAAGAGTGATTAATCCTGGCATTCTGGAAGGCCGAGGCAGGAGGATAGCAAGTTCCAGTTCTCCCTGGGGAATTTACTGAGGCTCAAATCTCAAAATAAAATGAATGGGCTGAGTATAGCTCAGTGCAAAGGCCCTGGGTCCGTCCTCAGTGGGCAAACCCCCCACCCCCACACACACTGGGCAGAATGGGAGGACCTCTGTGGCTCCAAAGTAGGGAAAGGGAGGGATGGTGGAGGCCCCACCTTGGCTGTGTGGACCTCTGTCCTGGAGGGCCAGGGCCAGCAGCTCCCTGGGGTCCTGGTCACAAGCTGCACTGGGCCCTTCTACTGGAATAGGAGTCATGGCCCACCCACAGGTGGAGGGAGAGCTAGTGCTGTGAGCAACGAGGGATCCAACTGTGTGTGGCCGGAAACACTGCAAATTCCAGCACTGGGGAGGCTGAGGCAGGAGGCTCACCTCAAGTTCAAGCACAGCCTGGATTACAACATAGAGAGACTCTTTCAGAAAACCAAACCAGAGAACCCTAGCTGGAATAGTGCCTTAAAAATTTTCAAAATGTGCTCTTCCTTGCGCTGGGGTGTAGCTCAGCAGCAGGGTGCTCGCTTAGACACGGGAGTTGAATCCTTCCTACCAGGATCAACACCACCCAAGGGCGAACACATTTTCCTAGGGACCCAGCACCTCACCACACCTCCTCTCCTCCCTTCCACTTCCGTTCCCTATTCACTCCTGTATCCAGAGCGCGCACACGCACACACACACACACACACACACAGTTTCTTCCACCTGTGTCCCCCCACCCACGTCTCCCAGAGCTCTGCAGGTTACCCCAGGAGGCACAGGGAGGGAGCTGTGACTCAGCCCTGGGGGACACAAAAGTTCCTGCGGGCCATGCAGTTTCAGGCTGGGGTGGCCTTGGAGGATTCCCAGCTCTGCACCCTGGGTGCCCACAGGCTGAGTAGAACCAGGTCCAATGACCTGGCTCAGAATGGGCCCGTTTTCCCGAGGGCAGAATATGCTTGGAGATGTCCCCAAGTGGGGTGTGAACCCCTCTGGGCCATGCCTAGTGCCCTGGGCACTGGACTCAGGTGTCCTCCCTGGGCATTCCCACTGATCCCACCTGGTGCTCTGCCCAGCTCTTGGGCACAGACCAGAGAGGACAGGCACATAGGGTGGGCAGCGCTGGTGTGGCGAGCCCGTGCCAATCTGCTGCCTTCTGCTTTCAGATTCTTGGAGCCACCATTGAGAACTCTAAGATTGTTCTGCAGATCGACAACGCCCGTCTGGCGGCTGATGACTTCCGAACCAAGTGAGTGACTGCCTTGAACCTGCGGAAGTCCGGGCAGCCTGGGAGGATGCAGGGCCAGTGCTGGCCTGACCTTCATGGTTCCTCTAAAAGGTTCGAGACAGAGCAGGCCCTGCGCCTGAGCGTGGAAGCCGACATCAACGGGCTGCGCAAGGTGCTGGATGAGCTGACCCTGGCCAGGACTGACCTGGAGATGCAGATCGAGGGCCTGAAGGAGGAGCTGGCCTACCTGAAGAAGAACCACGAGGAGGTGGGCGGCTGGGGCTTCCGTTCACCCTCAGTGTGGTCCTGGGTGATGCTCACGGCTCCTAGGGTTCCAGCAGGGGCCGGTGGAGATCTGGTCTACCTAGTTCCTGAAGCCAATCTCTGAAATGATGGCTGAGATTCCACGCATGCGCCCTTTGTTCTGGGGTGGACGCGTGAGGGGGGCGGGGGCGCACTGACCCAGGCCCTGAAGGCAAACCCCAGCATGCATGCTCACTTCTGCCACTTTCCAGGAAGTCAATGCCCTGCGGAGCCAGGTGGGTGGCCAGGTCAGCGTGGAGGTGGATTCCGCCCCAGGCACCGACCTCGCCAAGATCCTGAGCGACATGAGGAGCCAATATGAGGTCATGGCTGAGAAGAACAGGAAGGACGCCGAAGCCTGGTTCACCAGCCGGGTATGGAGGGCTCTCCAGGGTGGCAGTGGGGGTGGCTGCAGGGGAGGGCTTGCCTCCCCCACTCCAGCCTGGCTCTTTGCTCACCCTTCCTCTCCTCCCTTGGCGCAGTCTGAAGAGCTGACCCGGGAGGTTGCTGGCCACACTGAGCAGCTCGAGGTCAGCAGGTCTGAGGTCACCGACCTGCGCCGCACGCTGCAGGGCCTGGAGATCGAGCTGCAGTCCCAGCTCAGCATGGTAGGTCGCTCCGCCCCCAGGACGCGCGCAGCGCTGGGCAGCCTGGCTGGCGCGTGCAGCTCTGCTGAGTCATGGTTACCCCCTGCCGTCCCTCCAGAAAGCCGCCCTAGAAGGCACCCTGGCGGAGACCGAGGCGCGGTTTGGAGCCCAGCTGGCTCAGATCCAGGCGGTGATCAGCAGCATCGAGGCCCAGCTGAGCGACGTGCGCGCAGACACGGAGCGCCAGAACCTGGAGTACCAGCAGCTCATGGGCGTCAAGTCGCGGCTGGAGCAGGAGATCGCCACCTACCGCAGCCTGCTCGAGGGCCAGGATGCCCACTACAACAACCTGCCTGGCCCCAAGGTCCTCTGAGTGGCTGGTGCCTGGGCGTTGGGTCCCGGTCCTCCTGCAGAGAGCCCTTCCTGCGCACCCACAAGGGTGCGCCCTTGACCGCGCCCTGTCCCGCTTGCCAATAAAACTTGATGGCCTAAGGAGGAAAGATTTGATTTATTGCAGCCCTTGGAGAAATGGGTCAGGGCTTGGCCCTGGGGAGGTTTTATTTGAGCCAAATTACACCCTGTCTCAGGAAAGGGAAGGGAGGACATAGCCATCCTTTGCCCTATCCTGTTGGCAGGATAAGCCTTCATTTATTTAATTCTGGAAAGAAGCACTGGTTGTGTCCAATTTACAGATAGGAAAACTGAGGTATAGGGTGGTGAGGTGGCTTGTTAGTATATAGCAAAAGGTGAGGTTTGAAATTGATAAACCGTGAGAGAGAAAGAGAGAGAAAGAGAGAGAGAAATGGTGCATACTCACATAGTATTCAATCAAAACTCCAAAAGGCAGAATGGGTTGTGTTTTATACCTTAGGAACCAGGCTCAGGCTCAAGGCTGGGCAGTGACTCTGCGGCGAAGGCAGAGCTGGTAGCTGAGTCTCCCGGTTCCTGGTTTGCAGTGCTGTCCCTTCCTGGGTGGCCCCCTGAAGTTTCCACCCGTGCCCTGGGATCGCGGGGAGAGGCTCCTACTGGTGCCCTCACCTCACCGGCGGTGCGGGGGTTTGCAGAGGGCGTCAGTGTGCCTGTGTTAACACCGGAGCCCCTTGTGCCCACTCGTGCCCGGCATCCTGTACCGGGGCCTGGAGCCAGGAAAGGGACCCAGCTGTGACCCGGGCCTCCCACGCACCCCAACCTGGCTGGGCTTGGCTTGTCTGGCCTCCCTAAGCAGGCAAAAGAATAAGAGTCCCAGCTTCCTGATCCTGCAGGGCCCTGGGGTAATAGAGGCCCGAAACACAGGGCCCCTCATCAGGGGCGTAGGGCACCCTGCTGCCCCACCGAACTCTTGGTGACCTGGGGTGGGGATAGGGCATATACCTCCAGTCCCAACTCCCTGGGAGGCTGAAGCAGAATGGCAAGTTAAGACCCAAACTGGGTAATTTAGGGAGACCCTGTCTCAAAAATCGGGGTGAGGGGCAGGTGGGGAGAAGGCCCTGGTTCAATCTTCAGTATGGCAAAAGTAAAGTAAACTAAAAGAGCCTCCCTATTCCTGGTTCCACAAAAAATAAAAATAAAAGCGCCTCCCTGTAGGAGCTCTGCCTGGCCTGGTGCCCGGCTCCTGTCACCTCATACCGGTCTGAAGGGGGCGCCCTTTTCTCCACCGACCTGTGGGTCCTGAGAGGGTCCTTGGCGGCTCCACATCTCGGGATGGTCGCAGCCATGGGACCTGGAGCCGCTTGCCCTCGGGAAGCCGCGGGGTGGGTGGCAGAGCCTGGCTGTGGCTCAGAACTGGCTGCTCAGGACACCTGTCCCTGCCGTGAAAGCCGCCCTTGTGGCAGGGCCCCCCTCCCCCATCCAGGCCCTGGAATGTGCCTGGGGCGGGGTCTGGGCCCCACGGGTGGGGCAGAGGCTGGGGCCCGGCTGGGTGGTGTGAGAATGAACCCGGGCTTTGTTCCCTCAGCCTGGGAGCCGAGTCTGGGCCCCGGAGGACGGCAGGGAGGGGCCCGGGTCGGGCCGGGGCTGGGGCCTCGGCGTTTCCACGGCCCGGGTCCAGTGGCTTTTCCCGTGCGTAAGGTGTTTCCTGCCTGTCGTCTTGCTCTGTCTTGGGGCCAGGGTTGTTTCCATCTCGCAGATTGGTAAACTGAGGCTCCGGTCACTTGTGCGCACATCTGCTGTGTGCGAAGAGGGGCTGAGCCCTTTGCCCCTGGAGTGCTCAGCGCTGGGGCCAGGGTGAAGGGTGGCCCAGCCTGCTCTTTGCAGGCCTCCTCTTCAGGAGGGAAGGCCCAGTTTAGGGGCGACTTGCAGCCCTGGCGCCAGCGAGGAGGCCCCAGCACGGCCTGTGCCTGGGGGCGGGGGGCAACTGGGGAGGGTAAGGAGCGGAGCGGGGTGTGGCCCTGCCCTCACCCTCACGCTGAGTCTGTGCTGTGCAAACCACTGGGGCCTGGGCGCCTGCAGAAGCCCTAATGAGATGGCTCATGGGGTTTGACTATTTTTCTTTCGGAGGAGAGCAGCGCCGCCTTCCCACCTGCAGACAATAAGTGCTCCGCTGTCTGGGCCCTGGGCTCGCTGGCTCGCCCGCGGCTGCTTGGCTGCATCCCGCCAGGTGGTGGCTGAGAAGCGCCGTCTGCTGCCCGCTGCCTAGCTGTGCGGTCTTGCACTGACGGCCTTACCCTCTCTGAGTCCTGATTTCATTCCTTGTGAGGCGTGGGTCTGGTTGTCCTCTGTGTCAAAGGATTAGAAGGCACGGGGGCTGCTCCTGGTGGCAGGTAACAACAGAAACCAGCTGGGTGTGGTGGTGCATGCCTGTCATCCCAGCACTTGGGAGGCTGAGGCGGGAGGATTGCTAGGAGTTTGAGGCCAGCTGGGGCAACATAGTGAGCTCAAAACAGCACATGTGTTTTGTCAGGCGGGAGTTGGCTATGGGCAGGGGGGTGGCGGAGCCTAAGGTCACCAAGGGCTGGCTGGACCGGGTGTGTTCTGATTCCAAGGACATCCCAGCATTGTCCTCTGAGTCCCGCATGCTGAGCAAGCCCACCACCACCTTCAGTTAATGTCAGCCAGGAGGGGCAGGGTCAGGATGGGGCTTTGGCCTCCCAGCTTTCTGGAAGGGGGAGTACAGCCTCAGATGCACACAGCTGTCATCTCAGCACTCTGGGAGGCTGAGGCAGGGAGACAGCAAGTATGAGCCTGGCCTCCGCAACTTAGTGATTTAGTGAAACCCTATCTCAAGATCCAAAATAGAAAAGGTCTGGGGATGTAGCTCAGGGTGAAGACCCTGGGTTCCAGCCCCGGGGCCATCGTCAACAAAGGTGTGGCTTGAGCCCAGGCCTGCAGACTCCTTCCTTGGCAGCCCTGGGCCAGGAGCAGTCTCCATCTGTGGGACACGATGCTTTGGCCTCGAGGTCCCTGCTGCCTGCCACCTGCCCGCTGGTCCTCCCTGCCACCTCCCTCTCCAGCCTGCAGCATGGTGGGGGGAGCGCAGGGGGAGATGGGGGTTAATCCGACCCTGCTGAGCTGCGACATGCCTGTGCTGGAGGGCAGGGGCTTCCTGGAACCTCCCCGGCCTTATCTGCAGAGGGCTGCCCTGACGTGCCTGGTGCGGGCAGAGGTTCAGGGACATGTGCAGTTGGCAGGTGGCAGCTCATCAGTCAGCCCCCTGTCAGCCTGAGCCCCCAGGCGCCTGCAAGCCAGCCAGGGCTCAGGGCTCGGGCGCAGGAGGTGGTGGTGTACAGGGAGGAGAGGGGATGGCAGGGTGGTGCTGCCCAGTCCTTGGGTCCCACATCTCTCCTTGAGCTCTGAGGCCTGAGACTGGGAGAGCTTGGAGCAGGGCCAGGAATGCTGAGTGTGGGGGAGGCTCGCGGGCCACCGCAGCCAGGCCTGGCCCTGCTACTCTAACGGGCCGGGCCAGGCTGGGTGGAGGCTTGGGGATGGTGCCCCAGTGAGCAGCTTTTTCTCACGGGGCGGGGAGCTTGAGGAACGTGCACCCCAAGTGTTAAATCCTTGGCCCCGGGCAAGGTGCCATTAATTCTGAATCATTTCTTTTGTTGCATAAAAAAAAAAAAAAGAAGAAAAGAAAAACAGCAGGATCCACGTGGAGGTGTGCGGGCAGCTGCACTTGCTTGCTTGGGGCAGGGCTGGCTCCAGTCCAGGGCAGGAGACGCCCACAGCCCCTCCGCGGGTACATAAGGAGCCCCAGGCCTGGGGGCCAGGCCGCCGTGCCCCAGTTTCTCTCCAGCACACATCTCCTGTTCTTGCCTCTCTCGTGCCAGCTGAGGACACCCGCTACCTGGCCATGGCGACCACATTTCTGCAGACCTCTTCCTCCACCTTTGGGGGCTGCTCTACCCGAGGGGGTTCCCTCCGGGTCGGGGGAGGTGGCTTTGGCGGGGGGAGTCTGTACGGCGGAGGTGGAAGCCGAGGCATCTCAGCTTCTTCTGCTAGGTTTGTCTCCTCGGGGATGGGAGGAGGCTACGGGGGTGGCATGAGCTGCGGCTTTGGTGGTGGGGCTGGTAGCAGTTTTGGCGGAGGCTTTGGTGGAGGTTTTGGCGGAGGTTTCGGAGGTGGCTCTGGTGGGGGTTTCGGCGGGGGCTTTGGTGGTGATTTTGGTGGTGGCGATGGGCTCCTCTCTGGCAATGAGAAGATCACCATGCAGAACCTCAATGACCGCCTGGCCTCCTACCTGGACAAGGTGCGCGCGCTGGAGGAGGCCAACACAGACCTGGAGGTGAAGATCCGAGACTGGTACCAGCGGCAGAGCCCAGCCAGCCCGGAGCGGGACTATAGCCGCTACTTTAAGGAAATCGAAGAGCTCCGGGACAAGGTGAGCCTCGTATGTCAGAGTGCAGGGCGCAGGTGGCTCCCAGGGCAGGGGACCACTGACTGCTAACCGCTGACTGGGGGACTCCGTCCTGCCCAGGTGAGGACCACTACCCTGTGACCTCTGCACATTAGGGGTGCACAGCCGCTCCACTCAGCAGTTCTAGGGAGAGAGGGGACTTGGGGTCCCAGAGCACCACGAGGGCACAGGTGGGGCACTCTAGACAGCCCCCAGCCACCTGCCCTTGCCCCCTGCAGGAAGACCTGGCCTCCACATGGCTTCCTGCTCCCTAAATGCCAGGATCACATTCCTGATCCATTAAGGGCATCTTTGGTACACAAGCACCATTGTGATGTAGGGAACACCTGGGGACTCAGGACAGCTCCACCACCCTGCGTTCCTCATGCTGTGGGCACCACCTGTGAGGTGGGGGGGTGTCCACAGAGCCCCCACTATAGCACATGCCAGGCCCCCAGGGGCTCCAGCCCCTGCTGTCTCGGAGCTCCCCCTGAGCAGATGAGGCTATGGTCAGTTCCATCCAGCCTTGGGCTCAGGGCTGGGCGCAGCGAGGTCACCAGTCCTGGGCACAACTCCCTGTCTCCCACAGATCCTGGCTGGTACCATTGACAACTCCCGAGTCATCCTGGAGATTGACAATGCCAGGCTGGCTGCCGACGACTTCAGGCTCAAGTGAGCCCCCTTGTGCCCTCTCCCTTTGCTGCTTGGCTGGGCCCCCAGCCTGCTCGGTACCCAGACCCCTCCAACGGCCCTCCTGATCACGGGCTCCTTCTCCTCCCAGGTACGAGAACGAGCTGACCCTGCGCCAGAGCGTGGAGGCTGACATCAACGGGCTGCGCAGGGTGCTGGATGAGCTGACCCTGGCCAAGACGGACCTGGAGATGCAGATCGAGGGCCTGAATGAGGAGCTGGCCTTCCTGAGGAAGAACCACGAGGAGGTGACGGGGCGGCCAGGGCTGGAGGGTAGGGGCAAGATTGGGCCCAAGCTGCTGCCTAGCTGGCCAAGGGTGCAGAAATGCTGCTCCTCTGAGCAAACCAGACACCAAGTGACGCTGTCCTCTGGGGAGGGGGACCGGTGCCAGGCCGGGTGTGAACTCTGTTTCCTGAGCTTCCAGCTGTGTCAGAGCCTCCCTCGGTGAGACTAAGAGCAGGGGAGAGATCTGCATACCCATGGGATCCCAAGAAGACCAAACTTCTTCTTGTATCACGAGGGTCAGAGGTCAGGGTGGGTGTGGCACGCTGAGGCCCTACCACCAGTGAGGCACAGAGCCTTGACTGGGTCCTTTCTTTCTTTTATTTTGTGTCTTTTTGAGACAGGCTCTCGCTCTGCAGTTCAGGCTGGCCTTGAGCTCACTTTGTAGCCCAGGCTGGCCTTGAACTTGCAGTGATCCTCCTGCCTCAGCTTCCCGGGTGCTGGGATCACAGGTGTGCACCACCACACCCCTCTCAACAACTGGGCCCTTTCTAACGGGCCTCCCCACCCCACAGGAGATGAAGGAGTTCGGCAGCCAGCTGGCCGGCCAGGTCAACGTGGAGATGGACGCGGCCCCGGGCGTGGACCTGACCCGCGTGCTGGCCGAGATGAGGGAGCAGTACGAGGCTGTCGCAGAGAAGAACCGCAGGGACGCCGAGGCCTGGTTCTTCAGTAAGGTGGGCTGCTTCCTGTCCCTCCCTGCCCCAGGCCCCAGAGCCCCCTCCAGGGTTGCCAAGGACTCTGGGGGGCTCATGCCACATGAGTGTGTCCCACAGACCGAGGAGCTGAACAAGGAGGTGGCCTCCAACACAGAGATGATCCACAGCAGCAAGACGGAGGTCACCGAGCTGAGGCGCACGCTGCAGGGCCTGGAGATCGAGCTGCAGTCGCAGCTCAGCATGGTACGGCTGCCTCCTGCTGCCTCCCCGCCCGGAGCCCTCTGTGCTTCCCGTTTAGGCTGACACGTCCATCTGTGACTCTGTCCACTCCAGAAAGCCGGGCTGGAGAGCTCACTGGCTGAGACCGAGTGCCGCTACGCCACGCAGCTGCAGCAGATCCAGGGCCTGATCGGGGGCGTGGAGGAGCAGCTGGCCCAGCTGCGCTGCGAGATGGAGCAGCAGAGCCAGGAGTACAAGATCCTGCTGGATGTGAAGACGCGGCTGGAGCAGGAGATCGCCACCTACCGCAGCCTGCTCGAGGGCCAGGACGCCAGGTGGCCACGGGCGCCTCCAGGGGCTGGAGGGCAGGGCCAGCAGGAGGTGGGGTGGGGGGCTCAGGCATTTGTGTCTCCTGAGCCAGAGGCTGGTGTGGTCCTGCCGTTGTGTCCTGGCTGTGCTCCTTTTGCAAGGGGGTGGCTCAGGGCGTGGCCTCCAGGATTTAGAGCCCAGAGAGGAGCTGCAGCCCAGCAGCATGCTGCAGTGCCCTGGCGCTGGCAGGGCAGCTCCCCGCAGGGAGAGGCACTTTGGCCTCTGCTTACACCTGCTTTCCTCCTGCAGGATGGCTGGCATCGGCACCCGGGAAGGTAGGGAGGCTTCCCTCTGCCTGGGCAGGCGGGGTGGGGGTGGAGCTGTGGGGTGCAGAACACAGGGAAAGAGACCAGACATCCAGGAGGCACCCTTCCCTGGGGGCCTCCTGTGGCTGAGGACACCGTGGGGTGGACAGGCTTTGTCCAGTGATGGCCTGGCCCTTCCTTCATGTCTGGAGGCTCAGGTGCAGCCCCAGAGCAGGGACCGTGGCTTTCGGTGGGCGACTGGGTGACTTGCCCGGCCTCCTGCGGCTTGGGGGATGCTGGCCAGTGGCTGTTTAAGGCTGCCATCTGTTTTCCCCAGAGCCCAGCCTGGGTCCCAGCTACCATGGGAGACTGGAGAGGGGGGTTTGGGCTCAAGGACGCCCCTTCTTTTTCTAGCTGTCCTGGGGGGCGCTGCAGGTGGAGGCAGCAGCAACAATTTCCGCATCAAGGTTGAGGAGACGGTGGACGGCAAAGTGGTTTCCTCCCACAAGCGAGATGTCTGAGCGCCCACACAGGAGGGCCGGCCCTGCCACCCGTGACCCCGGGGCCCGGGAAGGGGGGCTGGCTAGAGGCACTGAAAGGAACTTCTGCTCCTGCTGTGCTCCCCAGGTCCCCTGGTGGATGGCTTTCCATGTTTTCTGTCCCATCCTGCACTCCCTACCTCCTCTGGAGTGTGAAAAGCTGCTGGCTGGGGACCCTAATTCCACAGGCCTCTGTCTGCTTCCTCAATAAAGTTTTGCTTTTCCTTTAGCAAATGTCTCTTGGTCCCATTGCCATTTTTTCTTCCTGAGGGTCCCTGGGTTCCTAAGCTGCCATCTCCCCCCATGGAATTCATTCTTTGATATCAAGGCCTGGGGCCTTGGGCAAACCCAAGGCTGTTTTACAGCCTGACCCAACGGGGGACCCCACAAAGTGCGGCTGGGCGGGTCCCTAGTGCCAGCTGGCGCACCCAGCCGGAATGCATGTGGGCCCAGGGCTGACTGGGTGCAGGGCTGGCACCGTGCTGGGTACGCTTGTCCACATGTCCATTTAGGACAACTGTCGCTGGCCAGGGTCGAGGAGGACCTGAGCTGGGCGCGTGAGGACTTGCCCATAGTCAGCAGCACAGGCGTGGGGACCCTGGGCCATGCCCTCCTTGGCCTGTGCGGGACCCGCCTGGCTTCTGCCCTCACCCGTGTGCAGCGCGGGCCATCCTTGCTGCCTAGTCTGGCCGCAGCACCAGCCAGTCTCCATCCCTGCTCCTCTGTGGAGCTGGAGCCAACGCCTCCTCCCAAAGAGCACTTGTTGTGTCCAGAGGGAGGACACCGACTCCAGGAAGCCTTCCCTGACTTTCTCGACTCCTTCCCACCAGCCCTCCCTGCCCCCAGTGTCTTTCCTGGGACTAGGGGGAGCACCAGTGACCACCCACTCTTGGTCGGGGACGGGTTTCCTCTCAGCTCCGAGTCATAGCCTGTCTGGCAAGGGAGGGAGGAGGAAGGGGTCAGAGTGAACCTGGGCTGGGCGAGGAAGAGGAGGGGGAAGAGGAGGAGAGGGAGAAGGAAGGGGAGGAGGCCGGGCCAGGAGGGAGAACTGGTCTGGTAGTTCTGCTGGGAAGAGCAGGTGGGGGCCTCTGCCCTCTGAAGAATCTGATTTTTCTGGAAAGGGTCACTGTGTGCTCGCTGTACACAGCCCTGCCCCATGGCCCTGGGAGCAGGGCCTGGCGCCAGTTCCTCATAGGGAGACTGAATGAACAAGGGCTCCTGGGCACGCAGCCGGGAGGTCCGGGGTCACCGTGTGATATGCTGTCTAGGCCAGGTGTCCCAGAGGCAGCCCGTGGTGAGAGTGTGCGGCCAGCATGAATTACAGGGGCAGAAAGCACCGGAGCGGTTGAGCTCACAGCCAGAAGTGGGGGCCCGGGTCCCAGGTGGCTCTCTCCGATCAGATCCTGGAATTCATCTGGCTGACCCAAGGGGGCTGAAGCCCCAGCACCGCCCTCCCTGCCTCCCTTTCCTTCCTCCACCCTTCTAGTCCCTCCTCCTTTGCTGCCTGCTCGCCCTCCCCAGCTGTACCCCCGCTCTGCACCCTTTTCTTCATAGGCTGTGCTGATCTGAGTCCAGGGCAGCCTGTTCAAATGCCATCAGCCTTTTCCACCAGAAATCATCCTCAAATCTAATCTTGCCTCCCAGGGGGTGGGTTAAGTTCTTTCATCAGCCTCTGTGTCCCCTGTGTCCGGGAACTGCCCTGTTCTGGTCCAAGCCCCTGGTGACCTGCTGGCTGCTCTGCCTCCGGGCCTCTGGGCTTCTTCTGGGAGGTCCCAGGCTCTGCATAGCCACCTCCAGTTTGCAAAAAAGGCATCTTCTACAGGTGCAGCAAGCCCACACGCACTTGCCCCTCTGGGCCCAGACCCTGGGCTGTGGTACAAGGGGACCTGCCCCTGTGTCTCCAAAGCACCCATTTCTGCTGGATCCCTGGACAGAGCGGTCCCCAGCCTGACCCTAGAGTGAGCTGCCTCGCTGGACGGCTCACGACCTGTGGGGCTCTTATGTACCTCTGGGCCTGCGCACCTCCCCTGTCCTGCTGAGACCAGGCTCAGTTTCCAGCCAATCTGGGAGGCGGGCAGCTCCCAGCTGTTGCCCTGGCCTCCCCACAGCGAGAGGGTGGCTTTGGGACTGTAGATTAGGTCCTGGGCGTGTCCCCCGCCCAAGCTGGGCTTCCTGGAGCAGACAGGGCAGGCCTGCTGCCGTCTGCCCTCTCTGGGTCTCAGTTTCCCTACCTGTAAACTGAGGATCCTGGCTGGACAGGGTGACTGTGGGGTGCTCTGTGAGACCCTCTGTGCCCGGGGCCTGTGACGTACACGCGTGGGTTCTGCTAAGCTCACGGCATGGGCTCTCGGTGTACTCAAGCTTGCTCCTCCTGAGCTCTGATGTCTTGGTTGTCTCAGGCGTGTGCCCACCACGCAGGCAGCTGGTGGCACAGGGGATTAGTTCTGCATGACAGCTTTTCTCCTGGGACTTGGGTGGGGGGCCCACTGGCTGTCCCTCCCATTTGCCGGGCCTGTTACTGGCTGGAGGGGGCAGAGAAACCGCGAAAGAGTTGCTCACCCAGAAATCAAGGACTCGCTTGCGCTCAGCACAGAACCTGGCGCTCCGCTGAGCAAAGAGCCTGTCTCCGGAGGACCTAGAAGGAGCAGAAGGCATGGGACAGGAATGCGCCAAGTGTCACTTGTCCGGTCACTGTGGGCACCACGTCGGCTGCGGGGACCATGGAGGGAGGGAAGCTGGACTGTGCGTCATTACAGGGTGGGGAGCAGAGGGTTCTTAGATGGTCACCCAGGCACGCCGGGCTCGGGTTTCCTCCCGGGTGACAGGGAGGTAACCAGCCCGTGGGTGCTGTCCAAGTGCCAGGTGTTGGGAGCCTCAAGTACTAACTCATCCGATGCCTGATTCCCCAGCGGCAGCCCGGGAGGCTTCTCAAGCTTACGCAACCTCAGGTCACACAGGCATTTGGTGGCAGGTGGGGACTGAAATTCAGCTTCACCTCATCTAAAGTTTTTGCTGATCTTGTTGGGTTTCAGCCGGGGGCTGGGTGATGACAAAGGGATTTTGGGGTTGGGGACTGCAGACTTGTAAGGACTTGAGGCTGGTATGAAGTGATTTCCCCAGTGTCAGCCTGCAGTCTCCAGGGGAGGAGCTGCCCAGAAGGCTCGGGTTGGTTGTCTAGGAGGGGTCTGCTTCTAGAGAGACCCCTCCCCAGGAGGCTTCCAGAGTTTTTTTGGGGGCGGGGTCAGCCATCCTGAGCTCTGGCCCCTTGTCATGCTGGAAGGAAGGGAGGGAGGGAGGAGCCCGATCCCGCAGTGAACTCCCCAGATAGGAGAGGACCCCGAGGTCCCCAGGTAACCCTGACTCTGGTGTGCAGTGCTGAGAGGTTCCGCCCAGGAGGCCCAGCCCTGGAGCCCTGCCCAGGGGGCACAGCACCATCCATGGGCTGAGGTGCTGGGGGGCCTTCAAGGGGGTTTTCTTTGCCTTGTGGGAGTGGGGCTGCCACCCCTCGAAGGTCACTTTACAGGTAGCAGTTGGGATGCAGACCTGGTGCTATAGGTTTGAATCTTGCCTTTGACCCAGTTGAGTCCGTAAATGTGGGCAGTGCATTTACTCTCTCTGGGCCTCAGTTTCTCGTGAGATAAAAGGCCGTAAAACATAGCGAGGTTTGGAGTAAGACCATGCGCGCAGAGCAGCACTTAGCAGCTCGCTCGTGGGGGTCAGTGAGTGCTACGACCTCGCGCCTCTCAGCACATGGTGTGTCGTAGCAAAGCCGGGCTGCTTTTCCTTCCCTCTCCCCCATGCAAGGTGGAACACCTCTGTGCCCAGCCACAGTTCTCCGACACCAGGGAGGTTTCCGTGGATCAGTTCCGTTCTGACACCAGGATGAGGACAGGCACCCCAGGGCGGCTGCCACTTCCCATGCCAACTGCCAGCTGGAAGTTCTCAGCTGGCTGCAATGCCTGTCCACTGTCACCAGCCCTTGAGGCCCCCTTCTAGGGTACAGCTGTCACGCAGGTCATGAACTCAGTCTCCAGTCCCTCCCGCTTTCCTGGAAGATGAGGGAGGAGTGGAAGGCCGGGAGTCATTCTGGACCAGCAGACCACCACCGAGCCCCACCTCCTTAGACTTAAGATGCTCCACACTGGGAGATTCCACGGGGTTTGGAGCCCTGGAGCTACAAGCCAAATGTTAGACAAGGTGCCCTCAGCACCCCATAGCTCAGGAAGTGACTACAGGGCTGGGGAGCCCTGTGTGGGAGCCCAGGAACAAGACTCCCAAAGACATGTTTTGTGGCCATCGCGGTATCGTATCGCCAAATAAACTACCCAGCCACCGGAGCTCAGCTGCCAAGGTGCCAGGGGCTGGGGGACAGAGAGCCGGAGCCCAGAGGTAACATTTCTTTGAGACCACTTGTCACTGTGTAGCCCAGGCTGGCCTCAAACTCGTGGCAATTTTCCTGCCTCAGCCCGAGTGCTGGGATCACAGGCATGTACCGTCACACCTGGCGGCCCCATGTGGGTTTTTTGTTTCATGTTGTCCTTAGGCAGGTGACTTGTCTTCCTCATCAACTTGGGCATCTCATCTAAAACACAGAGCTGTAAAAGCCCCTCTTTGAAATAAAAAAAATATATATATATATATTTGCGTGTTTTGTAGTTAATGTAGTTTATAGCTGCCTTGGGGAAAGGTTACACGCACATGTGACCGCTGGCTTCCTTCTTCTTTTAACCGCCCCCTCTTGCTCCCCTATCCCATCCCCAGCTTTCATTCCGGCTGCTAACACGTGTCCTAGCTCATGCTATGGCAGGCCGGGTTTGCACTAATTGGGGGTCCTGGGGTCCTGCACATGGCGCGTCTTTCTCTGCTTATTCCCCTCCTGCCCCCTCCCCCTTGTTTCCTCGGCCCACTTCCCTGTTGCAGGAGACCCGTCCTTGCCCCTGCTATCCACCCTTTATTGTTCGCTTTGTGCCTCATGTCCTTCAACTGAGAGACGCCATCAATCTTGAAGCTTGCGTGTCTGGCTTATTGCACGCAAACATTTTATTGTATTCATTTTCCTACAAATACTTCAAATTTATTGTTTCTTACGGCCAAGTAGTATTGCACTGTACAGAGAGTATTCCCTTAGCTGTGGATGCCACTCTGTCTGTCCAGCCATCTGGTGATGGGTACACAGGCTGCTTCCAGGGCTCAGCTACTATAAACTGCGCTGCCGTAAACACTGGTGCATGTGTCGCTGGAGTACGGTGGCTGAAGCTCTTTGGGGACGACACTTTGTGAGGACAGCCCGGCCTATGGAACTGCCAACTTCAGTTCTTTGCGAAATCTCCTGCTGACTGCCATGAGTTCTGCTCCAGCCTGGGCTCCCACCAGCAACGCAGGCAGGCTCCTGTTCGCCACCACCTTGGCAGCACTCGCTGTCCCTTGACTTCCTAATGACCACCATTCTCTCCAGAGTAAGATGGGATCTGGCCCTGTTTTCTTTGCTATTTCTGTAAGGGCCAGCGCTGCCGAGCGTGTCCCCGCGCTCTGGGGCTGTCTGTCGCCTTCCGCTGTGGTTGGTGCACACGTGCCTGTCTCTCTCACGGGGCAGGAGCAGGGCTTCTGAGCCGGCTGTACATCCTAGACACCAGCCTGAGTCTGCGGAGCGGCTGGCGGCGCCTCCCCCTTCTGCAGGCTTCCCTTCCCTCTCCCGATCACTCTGATAGAATCCCTCTGGGGCTTCTTGCTGCTATTTCTTGGGATTGAAAAGCCCCTCCTCTCGTGAGGCCAGCGGGCCGCAAAGGTGGCTTTCCTTCTCCTTCGAGCTGGCAGGAAGGGGTCTGAATTTGGCCTTATTTTGCCAAAACAACAACAACAACAACAACAAAAAACAACCCAAGGAGGGACGCTTAGCACAAGCCAGCGCTGTTCCTGCCGTTCCAGGCAGGCGGGTGCGGTGACCTGGTCCCCAGGATGTCTGTGCCTGGCTTCCTCCTGGGGGCCGGCCGCACCCCCACCATTCTTGAGGTGGAGGAAGGTGCGTTGCTCCGGAGGGCGCGGCCGCCTGACCCTGGGAGGAGCGGAGGTCGCAGCCGCCTGTGTGACCTGCCAGGCTCTGCAGGATGAGCGCCTGCTCCTGGGGAGGAGAGGCCAACAGGCGTTGGCCCTCGCTGGCTCAGCAGCCCCGAACATGGGCATTGCCACCCTGGCCTCGCAGGTTCTATTAATCACCTTGCACTGTTGATCTTGTAGAGGCTGGCTCTGGGCCCAATCACACCTCTCCTTGGGTGGGGGCAGGGCAGGGCCGGGGTCAGCCAGAGCGCAGGCAGGGCGCTTGCCCTGGCTCCCTTCCCTGCTGGCTCCCACCCACTGGGTGAGCACAGCCCGCTCTTCTCTGGAGCACAAAGGGCTCCAAAGCCCTGACGCAGGACCGGTCCTGGCCTTGCTGACATGGCACCTGCCCACGGTTGCCGCCACACAGCATTGGTGACTGCCATGGGCCCGAGCTTTTCTCCTGAGCGGCACCCACAGTCACTGGCCCTGGGCTGCGTGGGGATGGGGAGCTCAGGCCTTGGTCGTATGCTAGGCCTTCTATCCTGTGGCTGTGTCTCTCTAGCAGGGAGCTTCAGGGAATATTGAACCCTGACGGGGCCAAGATCCTCCATCCATTCCAGCACCACTGAGGTCGGGGCCCGAAACCGTTTTGGGGGGGCCTGCCCTGTGTAGGGTCGCTACCCTCTCCTCACCCAGAGCTTCCCCTGTCTGTGACCATGACACTCTCTCTAGACAAGGTCAAGTCCCCCTGGCTGGAAAGCCCCAAGGGGATCCCTGGGGACAGAAGTGGGGAGCGCAGTGATGCCTGAGGGTGGGCTATGGGTGACCAGGCACAGGTGCTATGTGAGGGGCTGGCGGGGCCCAGGCGGCACAGGGCAGCAGGCTGGGTCCTCGCCATGCTTGCGTTTGACTGCATGAGAAACATGCTTAAAATGAGACTTCGTGTCAGAGAGGACCAGATTGGAGGTTCAGTTCTGAGGCTTCCCTTATGGTATGGAGTGAGAGAGGACACACCTCATGGGGAGAGGAAAGACAATGGGAGAAGAGTGTAGCCCAGGTCCATGTGAGGTAAGAGCTCTGAGATCATTAACAGGGTCACGTCCCCTTTCTGTGCCTCAGTTTCCCCAGCTCTGTTTCATGGCGCCCAAGGTCCGTGGAGGCCGCTGTCTGGTTCCTTTTTCTGACAGTCTTGGGGCCATTTCTTTCCCAGCCTAAGCATGTTTAAGATTCCATAATGTCAACATCTGTTGCCAGAGGATGCCACAGATCAAGTGGTCAGCGGGCCCCCGACATTCCAGCCAAGACTTGGACAGAAAGAAGGGTGTCTGGGGTGTGCGGGGACCTCGCCAGCCACAGGGCCTCTTTGCAGCCACTGCTTCCTCCAGACCCTGGTGCGCGGTCTCCATTCCTACCGGGGTGGGGCCGGGCCCCGCAGGAAGAGCTCCTTCAGAGAGGGCAGAGCTCAGCTGTCAAAGGACAGCGCTGCACCCTCTGAATCATCCCTTTTGTCAAGGATTAAAAAAAAGCCACCCCTAAGACACAACCCACCCTGGAGATCAGCGGTAACTGGGCTTGTGAGAAACAAAGTGTACCTGGCACCAGGTCAGAGGTGGGGAGGGGAGGAGCAATGTCCCACCCTGAGGAGGGTGCATAAAAGGTGTCCGTGCTGGGGAAGAGCCACTGTCCTCGGCCTGGCCAAGCCCAGCTCGACTCCTGTCTGCTCCTCGCTCCATCTCGCTTCCATCATGAGCTGTCGCCTGCAGAGCTCCTCTACCAGCTACGGGGGTGGCTTCGGGGGCGGCTCTTGCCAGCTAGGAGGAGGCCGCAGCTTCTCTAGCTGTTCCACCCGATTTGCCTCCGGAGGGTCGGCTGGAGGCTACGGGGGCGGCATGAGCTGCGGTTTTGGTGGAGGGGCCGGTAGCGGCTTTGGAGGAGGCTTCAGCGGCGGTTTTGGTGGTGGCTTCGGCGGTAGCTACGGGGGCTTTGGTGACTTTGGCAGCGGCGAGGGTGGCCTCCTGTCCGGCAACGAGAAGATCACCATGCAGAACCTCAACGACCGCCTGGCCTCCTACCTGGACAAGGTGCGGGCCCTGGAGGCGGCCAATGCTGACCTGGAGGTGAAGATCCGAGACTGGTACCAGCGGCAGAGCCCAGCCAGCCCGGAGCGGGACTATAGCGCCTATTACAAGACCATCGATGAGCTCCGGGCCAAGGTGAGCTCCCTCTCTGATGCAGAGAAGGTTGTTGAGGCAGTGCAAGCCTCCAAGGTCAGACACGCGGGGGCATCTCACTGGGCCAAAGTCCAGAGTCCTTTTCCAAGAGTCTTTGCACTTAAGGGGCTTTTTGCTGTCTCTACCTCCAAAATTTGCTTTCTGCCGTTATCCGGGTTCATTGATGGTATTCCTGCTGTCAACAATTTTTATGGCTTCCAAATGACGCGTGACTCGTCTCTATAATCCCGAGCCACTGAGTTCTTTGGAAACATGGCAGGTCGAAAGCCACCAAGGATGACTAAAATCAACAGGGAAGGGAAGGCGTGTTGGTGCCTGGTTCTGGGGATGATTGTTTGTTTTGGAGGGAGCCGCTGAAACTCTTTGTTCTCCACTGGTTCAGACTAAGTGGAGGAGAAATAGAAGTCCTGGCAGGGCAGGCCTGACACCTGGGGTGAGGCCTGTCCCTCACTATGAAACATCAGCTTATTGGATTAGAGACCTGCTGTCCCTGCCTGAGCCCCAGCTGTGTGGGGGGGTGGGCTTTCGCTGTGCCCATCTGTAAGGCCAGCTCCAAAGGAATCACTGAAATCTGTGGCTGTGAGTCTGTTCCGAGCCTAAGGAGACAGCAGCCCAGCAGGGTGGTAGGTCTGAGGCTACCGACACCCAGAGATGTGCTCAATGCTGTGGCTCCCCGGAAAGGCAGATCCGGGCCCCGTCCTGACCTGACAGGAAATGCTAAGGGGATAGAACAGAGCGGTCCCACCCTCACCCTGTAGAAGAGGAACTGAAGCCTGGAGACAGGTGCCCTGTCCCTGTTCAAGGACAGTGGGGCACTATGCCCCAAGTGTGGGGTGCTCCCATGGTCCCCCCTTCTGCGTTTTGTAGATTCTGGCAGCCACCACTGAGAACAACCGGGTCATCCTGGAGGTTGACAATGCCAGGCTGGCTGCGGACGACTTCAGGCTCAAGTGAGTTTGTGCCTGCTGTTTTCTGGGTGGAGTCTTCCTTCAGAATCTGTGCTGATGATGGGGAGCTGTGGGGAGGTCCTCGAGGAGCCCAGCGTGAGTGTGTGTGTGTGTGTGTGTGTACATGCGTGCAGTATCAGCTACATGTTGCTTTTTTTAAAACGTGATTTTAATGTTGCAGGTATGAGAACGAGCTGACCCTGCGCCAGAGCGTGGAGGCCGACATCAACGGGCTGCGCAGGGTGCTGGACGAGCTGACCCTGTCCAAGACGGACCTGGAGATGCAGATCGAGAGCCTGAACGAGGAGCTGGCCTACATGAAGAAGAACCACGAGGAGGTGACGGGGTGGCTGGTCACATCTGGGAGAAGGGATGACTCGGAGCCCCAGAGAGCATGGGTGGTTCACGGGCTTCCTCTCCACCCCTCAGGAGATGAAGGAGTTCGGCAAGCAGGTGGTGGGCCAGGTCACCGTGGAGATGGACGCGGCCCCGAGTGTGGACCTGACCCGCGTGCTGGCCGAGATGAGGGAGCAGTACGAGGCCATGGCTGAGAAGAACCGCAGGGACGCCGAGGCCTGGTTCCAGAGCAAGGTGGCTCCTCCCACCCGCGGGCCAAGGGGCTGGGCAGATGCGGCCCGGGCTCCGAGTCACCGTCTCTCCTCCGCTTGCAGAGTGCGGAGCTGAACAAGGAGGTGGCCTCCAACACAGAGATGATCCAGACCAGCAAGACGGAGATCACCGAGCTGAGGCGCACGCTGCAGGGCCTGGAGATCGAGCTGCAGTCGCAGCTCAGCATGGTACGGCCGCCTCCCCCAGCGACGCTGCCTGCAGGCTTCCCTCCTGCCGCGCCCGGACGCCGCCGCCGTGACTTGGTCCTCTTTGTCCCTCCAGAAAGCCGGGTTGGAGAGCACCCTGGCGGAGACCGAGTGCCGCTACGCCCTGCAGCTGCAGCAGATCCAGGGCCTTGTCAGCAGTATCGAGGTACAGCTGGGTGAGCTCCGCAGCGAGACCGAGTGCCAGAGCCAGGAGTACAAGATCCTGCTGGACATCAAGACGCGGCTGGAGCAGGAGATCGCCACCTACCGCAGCCTGCTCGAGGGCCAGGACTCCAGGTGGGCCCCGCGGGGCGGCCGCGCCCTCGGGGAGGGGGATGGGCTGAGGGAACCTCACGCGGGGCAGAGCACCTGCGGTTGCCCTGCCTGAGTCGGCCCGCTAGTGGCCTCTTCTCCCCAGGGATCGCAGGTAGGCATGGGGACAAGCCAGCTGGGCAGGCCGCCTGTGCACAGCAGGACTCCTTGTGCTGGCCCTGTCCTTCCTCTGCTCATGGCTCTCTGCCCTTCCAGGTTGACCGTCTCGGCCTCACCCGCAGGTAGGGGCTGCTTCCAGGGGCAGCTTCTGGGCTCCTGGGGGGAGGGGCTGGGCCGGACGTGGGCAGCGATGGGCGGGAGGCGGGCTGGGCACGGGGCATGTCCACCTCATGGCCTTCCACAATGCTGACTCTGCCCCGAGAGCCGCTGGGCTCTCTTGGAGGTCGCTCCCCTGGGGGTGGTAAGGGAGTTCCCATCTGCGCACCTCCGACCCGTGCACCCCCAGAACCCAGGCCTGGCCCGAGGTGGGTTCTCTCCAGCCTGAGCACTCCTTGTCCCTTCTGTGTCCCAGGAAGTGGCAGCTACAGTGTCGGCACCACCTCTAACGTGTCCGGCTCAGTGTCCGGCTCCGTCTCAGGCTCCGTTTCCGCTTCCGGCTCTGGCTCCCCTTCCACCTCCCCTCGACGGGCGTCTGACTTCCGCAGGTTTTAGCTTGCTCCTCTGCCTTCGAACAGCTGGAGCTGCCCGCAGGACCTTACCTGCTGAGGCCCAGCCCTTACCCACCCTGCACTCCTGAAGAAGGACCCTGCTAGTTCCCCTCCTGTCCCCTCCCCATGCTGCACACCCTTTGATTTTTCCACTTCTTTTCTGAAAGGAGCAGATAATCCAATAAAGCTTCCTGCCTGCCTGCAAGTGTATTTCGACTCCGGCTTGGTTTCTGAGGGAGGGGGGTGGGGGCAGCTGTGTACAGCTGGGCTGGGCAGTTGGTATGGGTGCTGCTGGGAGCAGGGCTTCTCGCTGGAGAAGGACTGCCTTGGAGAGGGCACCGTCTGCACCCAGCAAGGGTGCTCAGCGGCAGAGACGGCAAGAGGGAGTAGTAGCAGGGTTGGGGACACGGAGGCGTGGGGACACACGGAGGTCGCCGAGGGCTTCCTGTGTCAGGGCTCTGTCCTTCCGTCCTCCAGCCCACTCCATCTCAGTGCCTTCTGTGCCACTGTTGCTGAGTCAGCTCTGCCTCCGCAGGGTGCATGCAGAGCACAGCGTTGGGGGCGCCAGGTGGAGGGGAGGGGAGGCCGCTCTCAGCCCTGCACAGGGACCTGTCCAGTGTGGGAGCTGGGATCCCTGCTTCCACGGTGCTCCAGGGAGAATCAAGGCTCAGTCCCCTACCCTGGTGCTCAGGGGACAAAGGAATCAATGGGACATTTCTGTGGGCTCCTAGACCCTAGTGCTAGGTCAGGCCCCCAAGGAGAGAGCCAGGTAGGGCAGGTGCTGGGCCATGGTGCTGGAGGCTTGGAGGCTTGTGGGGCTCCTGGTGCCTCCTCTGGGTGAGCAGAGGGCACCTCCTGGTCCCCAAGGCCCCGCCCTGGTGAAGGGACCTGCTGCTCCTTGGTCTGTGGGGCTGCCTGTCCTGCCTGTGCCCTGCAGGGGGCAGACTCATGCCAGAAAGTCCATCAGTGTCTCTGGCCACCAGCCAGCCCCAGGGTGGAGGGCAGGGCCCTGTCCGTCTCCAGCCTGAGGCCCTGTGAGGACCAGCTGTCCCTCTGTTCTGGGTGGCAGCTTGAAGGATGCACAAAGGCCCAGAGCATGGGGTGGGGGTGCTAGGGCCTTCCTGGACCCTGTGTCCTGCCCAAGGAAGCCAGGATCAGGAAGGGTGGGGCTGGGGGCGTTGGGGAGGGGACAGGGCTGTGGGTGGAGCGGGAGTAGGCGCAGTTCCTGCACTCCCTGTCCCTGTGGAGCCCTGCCTTCCTCCCTGCCTGGGACCTGTGTCACTTTGGATGGCTCGTGGGGCTGTGGGTGGCTGCTATGGTGCAGGGCACGTGGGTGGCTCCTGTCAGCAGCACCTGTCAGCAGCACCTGGGGGACCTGGGAGAGCCAGGCTCCTCCTCCCTGTCCCCACAGAGTGGAGAGGGACAGGTGGGTGAGGCTTCTATGGGAGTGGCACTGGGGGAGCTGGTAGGGGTCGGATGCCCTCCCTGGCTTGTTATTATGAGCACACGTTGTAAAATCCCATGGTGTCTTCATTGACACACCCGGAGAGCCTTGAAAACAAAGCCATGCATGGCAGGTGGCCAGGCCTCAGATGCACTGCTGAGGCAGGGAGTCAGGCCCACCACACCTGGGGCCCTGCCAGCGCAGACCACAGAACGCAATCAAGTGGATGTTCGGAGAGTTTGCTTTATGGTTCAGTTAGGAAATGCTTGGATCAAGGGGACACAGGACACCAAGGTCCCAGTTCCCAGGGGCCTGAGGACGCATCTCCCACAAGTCACAGGCTCTCCAAGTGCCCTGGAATGGGAGGGACACGCTGGAGTTCTTCGAGCCATAGAAAGGGGCTGGAACTGGCTCCAAGGGGAGGCCCTGGACTCCTGCAGATGGAAGCCGCTGGCCCCCGGGGCGGCCTGGGAGGAGGAGGAACAGCCCACAGTTGAGCATGGCCACCAGCGGACCACAGAGGTACGGCCTCCCACTGGGGTAGGGTGGCATCCTGGGTGCCCACCATGTGCCCCAGGCAGCTGCCACAGCCTCCCCCAAAGGGAAGATGAAGGGGTGTCACTGGGGAGAAATGTGGTTTCCTCGGCCATTCTGTGCTGGGTAAGTGGGTGTTTCCAGGCCCACCTAGGGCAACTCGAAGGGCAGTGTGCTGGGGCATTTGGGGAGGAGCTGCCCTCAGGGCCTTGGTCGCACCTCATCAGCTGTTCCAGGGCCCCGGTGCAGGGACCTCCTCATTTCCTAGCGCGAGTTCAGGATTGTCCCTGACCAGGAGGCCTGGCAGTGTTGGGGACGGAGAGGAGGCAGAGGTTCGTGCTGTTGGAGATCTGGTAGTTCCCAGATGGGGGCTTGCTAAGTCTTGCCCAGAAGGTTCAAGTTGCCCTGCTGGAAGCAGCGGGGCAGGGTGGGATGTGTCCGAGGTGGCTGGGGCCAGAGGGAGGACAACCTGGCCCCAAGCGCTGCGCACCCGGCCTGGAAAGGCAGACAAGAGACGGTTCTTCAGTGAGGGCTGTGATGCCCAGGAAGCCAGCATTGTGGAGGGACAACCAGTAACATTGTAGTACAAATATGTCTGGGATATTGCATCTATTTCTTATTTGCTGAATTCAGCAACCTTATTTTTATCAGGTCTGTGAACGGCCCTGAGCCTGCACCATCAGAAGACGGAGACCTGGCCTGAGTGGATGCTCTGACAGCACGCAGTGTGCGGTCGGAGAGGTCCAAGGGCGAATCTTCGTGTTCTCGTGGCTTCCTCCAGCTCCAGCTCCGCGGACTTGCTGCTGCAAGTCTGCTCAGGAGTCTGACTTGATGGATGTGGTTACTTGACACAAATACACTGTAACTAGGCAACGGGGCTACATCGTAATTGCGTGACACAGACATACTGTAACTGAGCCAGGCTGGGAGTCCCAGGTGGCTTTGCAGCTTGACCAGGTTGTTTGTTGCAGGGAAAAGCCCTTGTGCGTGGGAAGTGGGAAACGGAGTTCGGGAGTGGGTGCCCTAGTGTCCTGGGTGGGTCTGGGTGGGGTCTGGAGAGCTTAGGACACAGCAGCATTTTCAGGTGTGCTCTTGGGGCCATGTAAGAACCACAGAAGCCTTGGCCAGCAGGCTGCTCTCAGGGACACTGCCACTGGCTTCTAGAACGATGAACGGCCAGTTGTGCCCATTGGCAGGTGGCCTGGCTGTCTATGGGCTGCCGTTCCTTCTGCTGCCCCGAGGGTCCCATGGGGCCGGTGGCTGGCACACTCTGACCAGAGCTCAGAGAGGCAGACCAAGGGAGACCTTGCTTGGGACGATGGATTCCTCCCGGGCCACGCCCTATGTCTGGTTGGAGAGATGGCACAGAGTAGCAGAAGGCAGCTCAGGCCTGGCTCCTGCT